TACTGTCCCAGGCTGTGTAAACTTCAATGCTTGGAGTGCAGTTCGAACGTGTGACCAACGCATTGAAAGTCGGGCACAGAGACCAATGAGCCGCAACTTCTAAAAACTCTAATATTAATAGTATTATATATTCCTTGAGTTCTGACTGAAACATAGGGATTCGACAGCCTTGGACCTAGGTTTCTTGATTCTTGGGACTCGTCAGGAAGGCATATCTGCAGCCCTGAAGGAACTCGTATCCCTTCTGAGATTCGAACCCGCGTCACCCAGTGCTGCAGTCAGAGACGTTACCACTGAGCTATTCAGGCTCGGGACTGACCTCCTGTAGGACTGTAATGGATATTTTTGATTTGATACTAGTCAGTAGCTAGAGTAATATATCTAGTCCTATGTTTGGTGCAGACTGAATTCTATAAGTCGAGTATGCAATGTGGCCACGATTCTAGGTGGCTCGCTATCAGGATGCACTGTGAATTGTTGGTGTTAGATGGTTGGAGGCAATCGGCAGGAAACCTTGAACCTAGGTTTCGTGGTGGCTGGTGGTTACATTGCAAACTTGACTGATAGAATTCAGTCTGCACCAAAGATAGTACTAGACACATTACGCTAGCCAATCAAAAATAGCTTCACTACTGTCTAGGAGTTTTCATTTCCTTTCCACATGACCTTCTCCGTGTCATCCCATGATACCCAAGCCATCGTATCCAGTTCAGGCAAATTAGTTAAGACACCAAACTTATCATTCAGACTCCGAAAAATTAACCAAAATTTAGGTAACTATATATCGCTAAAAGATTACCTGTTGTTTACAGATTAAAACCCGAAAATTGTAAGTGATAATTGAGGTGTTAAACTGATTCAAACTGGTAAAAGACCGAGCACTTTGGTTCAATCAATCGACGGGAAAATCTAAAATTCAATTAAATAATCAATATGACCCGTTGCACAAGAGGTGGCTCTCACGGCCCAAGTGGTCTAGTGGATAACGTTTTGGCGTTTGAAGCTATCGGTACTGGGTTCGAGCCTCAGTGGGAACATTATCACTCACTGGGGTATGCAAGTACGTCCAACTGACGAGTCCCAAATAGGACGAAATGCGCATCCTGGATTTCACTGCTAGTCACCATCCACCATTTAAATGGTAAAAGTATAACTTCATTGAAAACACTCTCAGTAATGGTTGTCATAGCTTATCATAGTGATATAAGGAAAGCTGACGGGATGTCAGAATTAAGTTTTAAAAGCATTTCGCATAAAACAGTCATTGACTTGCCATGTAGATATAAAACCATAGGCATCTTTAAAGCAAACAATTACTTATTGCGGACAAGATTTTGGTAGTTAATGAAGTTAAAATGAAGAATATATGTTATATGCACAAAATTTGTGTAATATACAACACGTAAAGAGATTTATGGCTAATGACTATAGCACAAATTATCTCGTACACAGGTGATTCCTCTAGTTTTTACTTCTGTTTTTCTGACAGTGGTGGATGCGAATCCAGTTTTGCAAGGTTTACTGTAAAGGTGTTACATCAAGTGACATCGAAAGCAATATTCATAAAACTAAAGTGTGAGCAAAACCAAACCTACGAAAATTTTTTTTCTGTTATACACCGTTGCGAATTCTTACTTATGTTACTAATACACATTTACTTCTCCTACTAATTTGAACACGAATTTAATTCAGTTGAAGAACCACTGAAAACCAAGGAGTACTGAACAGTTGTTTCGTCTTCATTTATAGCTCTTCATCAACACGCACTCATAACTTCACCAGGCGTCGAACGGAGTGAGAGGTCGTTATAAGCGGGGCACACCAATTTGACCGTGAAGACAAAAACTCACAGATGGTGTTGGCGGCTGCCAGTGGAGCTATAAATCGCAAAACTGGCAGAAGTTGGAATTGATGGCCCGCCTATTGAATTCCGTCCCAGTGACTGAGTGATCGACGAGTTTTTCTTGTAAACTGAAGAGTCCTGGGTTCGACCTCTGGTGGGGTGGTGATGAGTACCTACTATTGGAAAGTCCCAAAACTAGGAAGAGAGAGAGCTTTTCACTACTACTTGGTTTTCAATAGTTCTCTAATTGAAGTCGGTTCGTGATCCAGTTTGAAATCAATCAATTCCTTGCAAACCAACACTAGTAATTTTCCCATTGAGCCTATTTCAATCCCTAATTTGATATTATTGTAAAATGTTTTGTTTCTTCTAGTATACATAAACCAGTATGAAGTTTTGAAATTAATTTCGTTGAATCGAAAACTTCCTTCATTATAATGCTTTTCATTTTGTTTACTTTTAATTATTACTCTGATTTCGGTGTGTAGAGTGTAGAGTCTTTTAGGATTAGTTAATTTGTATCGACGAATAATCGCTGTGTCGAATACTGCGTAAAGTCAATAAAATTAGCAATAAAAATAATTCTCAAGTGTTAGCTCGTAGTCATTTGATTGGTTTCAAGTGTGATCACGGATTATTACAATTTGGAGAGTCACTGAAATCCCAGGGAGTACTTGACAACTCTTCGGCAGTAAGAATCTATAATCTCATGCAGGATGGAACCCTGGACCTCCAGGTTAAAAGGTGAGCTCGATGACCATTCTGCCAATTTTGCGATGTATAACGTCACCACCAGCCAATATGTCAGCGGTGAATATTTGTCCTCACATCCAACTTGGTGGACTCGGCTAGTCACGACTTTCCACTAGAACTTTAGGTGACTGCAATCGGTAAGTCAGCCACTAGTGAGTATCAGATTACTTTTTAAGTGTTGATTTCTAAGGATTTTATTTGCTTTCAATTCTGATCACAGATTGATATCAATAAAAAATTTTCTTTTTATTCCTTCTCCTTCCCAGTGGAACATAGGGCTCCAAGCTAGAGGCTTCAAATTTCTGTAGCAGTGTTTATTTTTACAGGATGGGTTTGCTAGCCTCATGCCCAACCTTTCCTCTTCACCATCATTATTTCTGGCTTAGAGAGGTAAAGGAGTGCGTCGGCCGGGGATCGAACCCCGGACCCTGTGCATGGTCGGCGAGCGTCCTAACCGCTGTACCACCGACGCACCCTCAATAAAAATAATGATATGAAATACTCACTTTAGCAAGAGTTTGTACTTGAGAGCCTAGTCCAAATTTACCCCCCATAAATGCAGCTGTAGAACCGACAAGATCTGTTGCAACTGTAGCATAGGCATTTTGTTGCTGTTTTTCTTCTTGTAAGCGTTTTCCATCCGCTAATGACCTACGCAGATCAGTATTTTGTGTTTGTAAATCAGAGACTAAATCTCTAAATTTAACAAAAGTTTGTTCATAGTCTGCAATTGTTTCACGTGTTGCATCTAAATTACGTACAAGTTGATTAATTTTACTATGGGATCGTTCAATTTCTTCGCGTAGTTCAAGTTCTGTTTCACGACTATTCTCTTGTAATTCATCATTCATTTCACAAAGAGCTTCCTATAAAAACCATAGGAGAAAAAAAAAGAAGCAAATAATTATTTAATCAAAGCACTTTTTTAAAATCAAAGACGGTTAATTCATATGGTTTCTAGACTTTTTTGTCAAAGACACTAAACAGAAATCGACTCCATGTAGTAGTAATATCAGCTTTTTGTTAAAATCAAACAAAATGCTGAGCTTTAGTGATGGTTATCGCCTAACTATTACTTTCAGTACTGTTGCCTCTATTGTAAACATTAGTATAAGGTAATACTTTGGATGCTCGCACTTACACTGAACATAGAATTTGACTGGAATCTACAGCTTTGCAGATTGAAAAAGGGGCATTGCATATTTACAGTTTCATTTAAATTAACCTATGAACAGTGATTCGTAAGTTGATTGCAACAGCTAATTCCAACACACATGTAAGCAGCCCTATTGAATTCTTATGGATACACCTCCAAAGGAATTTATCTTACTGCACAGTCTACGAGTTGGTGTGACGTAAGTAACAAATTGAATTTTAACAGCTTTTATTTACACACTGATTGATAGTGAATAACACCCACTATGTGTGAAAGCTGATGATACTACCTGCCTCACCTAACCCCGGCAGATGGAGCGAAATTTCAACCCATGACTCGAAGATAAAAGCCGAGTACTTAAACAGATGAACTGTGGCTCAAAACAATGCTTAAGTAATAATAAGCATTTCACAAGTAACTTGATACTATTGATAGTAGGTGGAATCTAGTCTATTTTTTCTAAATACTCCTATGTAACTTCTATCAGAAAACTCTTGTACACTGTGTCCACGTAACAGATGATCTGCTTACAAAAGTGAAAAGGAGAATTTGAATGTTCAGCTGTTATTACTAGACCGATGCAAATGATGGGCTCACACCATAGGGAGTTCTAAAATCCTGATTCCAAACTAACAGTACATGAGTAATAGAGTCCGAGAAGGATGAATAGCATAAGAACCCCACGACCATGGGAATTGAACTCTTGACTTTGCTCCGTAGACTTGTGAAGGACCAGACTTCAAGTCAAAGATATGGAGTGATCCTATAAGAGAATCACCTACTTCATTCTGGAAATCTGTATAGTATTCCAACCCTTATGCAATGTGGAGCATCCTCTAGCCTCCATACTGTTTGTGTCTGAATAATGTTAGAACTAATAATAATAATAATAATAAATAGTACTTTCCGAGATGCAGAAAAAGTGTAGCATTTCTGATGAATGCACTGTTTGACAATCTAAAAATTCTTCAGATGAGCTTTATAGGTAACATACGCATACATATGCTACACAACTGACTTCGCATTATTATTATTATTTTCAAGAGTTGGTTTGTAAGGATTAGATCTGTTTTTCGAGTTTTACCACGGACTGATAATCAGTTAGAAGACCACTGGAAACTCGGAATTACTGGACAGTTGTTTCATCTTAGTTTGGGGGTCATCGGCAGTATGCACCCACTGGGGTTCGAACCCAGGACCTTCCGGTTACAAGGCAAGCTGGCTCGTATACCATTCAGCCACTGGCCCATGAATTCTAACTTCTACCTATTCGTGTTTTTAGCGCGACCATCAACTAATGTCATCGGCGAGAAATCCATCCTCATTCTTGTTATTATTTCAACAGCAACTTGCTACAATATGGGTAACACAAGATGTGCCACACAAAAAAACAATGACACAAGAAATACAGGAGAAATGGAGTAGTTGGGGAACAGCATTATGCAAACTGGCAAGCATACTTATTCAGGGGACTTATCACCGTATACTAATTTCAGATTACGATTCTCCACCATATTTGGTAACACCTCAAGCCAGTGATTTCGACTATCATTTGGGGTAGGGGTGCAACAAGAGATGCTAAACTAATTACAACTATTCTCCATCCCATGACAACACGTCATGGACTGACCACCACCTATCCGCTTCTAACCGACGACCGTATAGTGCAAGTTACATCGCTTGCGGGAAACTTTCGTCATAATTGAGTGTAGAAATACCAAAATTTATTCTCATTCCATAGTAGTTTAACTAACGAATGAACGATAATTAGGTAAGTGGGTAAAGTGAGAGGAAAAAGCTGTGAACTACATTTACACTAGAAACTGAAGATATTTCATAATATCCCGTTACATTTACAACAATTAATTTATAGTTTTCTGTAAATCGTGTAAATAAAAGATTGTAGAGCGCCAATATTATAAAAAAATCAGTGCAAACAATAATGGTCTGCTTAAAGAACTAGGCTACCCAATTTTCTTTCCATCAAAATTTCTCTCATTTACTCTATTTCATTTTATTTTAATTACACAATTACATCTCTGAGTTGCAGTTTACACTCAGCCCCTTTTTTCAGTAGGATTCAACCTATCGCTGAGGAGAAAAAGCATAACAGGTTATCAAAGAGTATTTTTGATAGAAAAATATTGCTTCAGACGATATATTACTGATTAATTAATTTACTTGAAGATTCTACACTCAGAGTGAACACTTTGCAATAGAATATGCTGAGAATTCTGCAAAATGTATTACAAAGCATTTTTCAAAATAAACTTATTTGTACTAATGTGGTGAGTGCTACTTATAATCAGATATAAGTAGTATATCAGTAAAAGAGTTCAGAAAAGTAACAAAATGTTTTGGATCACTGGAAAAAGCAATCGAAAAAGAGAACTGTGGGAAGAACGCTACAAACACTGTGTAGAATCCATCAAGCTATCAGATGTGGAGGTATTCGACCTATTTGAAAATGATGTGCAAATGAAGACTTAATGATAAGTTATACCAAATTTATACAATGCGTTTGTCCCAATAAACATTCCCTCGAGCCTCATCGGTCTATTCTTCTTTACATTATTATCATTACTATTATTTCAAAAGAAATTTGTATATACATACCAGATCATTTCTTTCTTCTTTAATTTTCTCAAGCGCTTCTTCCAGTTCTAAATTACGTTGTGTCAACTGACTGACCATTGTATCAATGCCAAGGGAAGCATCCACTTGTTCTTTTAATTCAATAATTTGTTCAACACTATCTTTAATATCTTTTGTTAATCGTTCTTTTTCTGTTTGCAGTTGACTAACCTCTGATTCTAAAGATGTAATCTGTAATAATACAAACAAACAAAGGTAATATTCAGTGTAAAGTTTGGCATTTCAAATTCTCATAAAAAGTAGGTAAATAGAATGTGTCAATGTAGATTTCGTCGTGAACCAACATCAGTTAAGGAAATATTGAAAACCAAGGAGCTCCAGACAACTGTTTTGTACTTAATTAGGACTTTTTATCGGTGCGCACCCACGTCCGCAACAGTGGTCAAATTCCGGGACCTTCATGTCACAAGGCTGATTCCGTTGACCATTTAGCCTGTTGCTGAAGAGCCACAAGTTGGGACGAAACTGCTGTCAAGTGTTCTATGGTTTTCGACGATTTTTTAAACTGATACTGGATTGAGACGAAATATGAGGTAAAATTAATCCGAATCCCTACAACGAAATTCCCATAATCTGAATATGATATCAGACGTCAATGACTGTGATGTCTTTTTCAAGCTATTCAATACTACAAAATAGCATAAATTTATATATAAATCGAACTGACTGACTGACTGGTTTCAAAACAAAACTCTGCACACGTATGCAGCAGTTACAGTTGCCACTCTCCCTCCATGTAGCACACAAAGCAACAGAGTAAAGAGAGATAATAAACAGAAATATGAGGCGAACACACTGTAGTATGGAGGAACGATATAGTTTCATTAGATATTATGAATCATAAAGAGTGAATGTATCTGCGACATTGACAAAGATTTTGAGCCATATCACCAATTGTCTCCAGCCGTCATTGGTTTTTAACATCCCGAGGACCCTAACCAGACAGCAGTCTATAGCTCCCTACGTGGCTGGTTTAAACTAACTGTTGTGGGTTTCACTGACTGATGAAGCAATGTTTTGGTTAGACCACCACTAGCTAACTCTTTTCCAACTTGATCCATCCTATGTCAGCTAACAATGCCCGTCGAGGAAGGTGATGACTAGGCAGGCATGTGTAACACATATCATAACCATCTCAATCGATGAAACTTCACAACCTTGTCGATTGTTTTTCCCCTCCTTATTTATCACTCGCTCCACTGAAGCCTAGCCTCAATATTACTCATCCTACTAAACCACCTAATACAGGAGATAGAACGCAGGCACCTATGATCAAAGACAGCTAGCTTGGCTTTTTATGTCTCCCATTTTCGATGGCCATGTCTCACAGACAAAAAGGAGGACGGAGCAAACTGCTGAGTAGAACATACGCCCTTTGGTCGACAGTCGGATATCAAATCTACTAAGCCAGGGATGGTGTAAGTTGGCATACACCAAACGAGCTTTTTGTATCCGTACTGAGATTTCGTCTGAGATCATCCCGTTGGGGCTGATACCACTTCCCACCCTAATAATTAAAGTGATCAATCGGTCGGGTACAGGTCAAACGGTTCAATATGTACAAGTTCGAGAATTAAGCACTGGATGTATCAGTAATATAATGCACACCTTACGACACTGATGTGTATAACTGAAAAATTTAAAGTTATCACTTATTGGAATTTCCTGTTCCATCATTAATGATGTACAACGCTGTTAAGCTTGCTGATTAGCCTATTAGTTAAAAAATGGATACCAAAATGATCGATAGCAGAAGAGTGATGTGTGAAATTTCCTTCCAGAAAAAGTTGATCGGCACTTTCTTTACTATCAACAGTCAGTTCATTGAATATACAACCTAGAATTCTCTTCTCTAATGCATTTATCAATCCTTCCTTATTTGAATTTGAAATTTCTGAAGATATTTTCTGATTTTAATTCCATGTTAGATTTTCCCGTCGATTGATTGGATCGAAGTGCTCGGTCTCAGGTTGACATTTCGGCTTCTTGTGCAGATGCTTCGATGATGTCTTGGCATGTAATCAGGAGTTAATTGGTGGATGGTACCGAGCAGCACTTCGGTCCAATCAATCGACGGTAAAATCTAAAATTGAATTAAATAATTAATATGACCCATTGCATGTCCAAGTGGTCTAGTGGATAACGCTTTGATATAAGTATAACGCACTTCCATAATGGATAGATTTATTTTGATAAATCAAGCGTTTGAAACTATGGGCACTGCATTCGAGCCTCGGTGGGAACATCATCACTCACTGCGGAATGCAGGTACAGCCAGATGGAAAGTCCCAAATAGGGCGAAATGCGTATCATGGATTCTATTGCTAGTCACCATCCACCAATTCTATTTTCTGACTGTATAGTTCACTGTGATGGTGAAAACCTTACTACTACAATTAGTCGTCTACTTTAAAGAAAGCAATAAGAGTGAACTCATCTAACTAACCGTTACAGATATAATAGACAATAACAATAAATCAGAGATAAATGGCGTTTGAGTGTGCCACGTACAACCAAAGAATCGCAGCTGATCTACCCCTCTCGAAATACCTTACTAATAGACATATTTTCATAGAGTCTACCACGGGCGTCCTACTAACAGCATTACGTGGAAGAAATTTTGCCACAAAAATGAAGGCTTGGTGAATACGGGGTACCATGTGACGAGTTTAAAACACCTTGACTCCATAAAGAATGTGTACAGGTAAAAATGGGCGTACGGACTTGATTTAGTCACTAAAATTAAGACAATATGCATCATGACATTGCTTTGCTTATTATTTTCGAATTGAACTTTAGGTCACAGATTTGGACTGGCCCCATAACACTTCGATCTTCATAAAAATTATAAGACAGCAGAGGTAAATGACTCTTACCACATCATTTATCGTTTCTATTTGCTCAACCATTCACTTTTAGGCTTTATTTTCCCACTCAGACAAATAGTTATCCCAGAGTTAACTGTAAACTTTGGCATTGTCTATGAGTGAGTTGGTGTCAAAAGAAGAGTTGGAAGAATAAACGAAATTTACAACACAGTTAAAGCCAAGCCAAGACGAAGAATTCACAATACTCAGCTATACAGCTCCACTAATATTTATAACTTTTGGTAGCCTTTTTAGTGTTCTTAAAAGTAGACTTGGTTGGTGTACAGAAAATTAATAAGTTTAGAAATATTGAATTGGTGAGTTGAGTGCATTCACTACTTATCTCATAAGTTAGAACAACCTTATCTATGATAACAGTGACTAGCAGAGGAATGCAGTATGAGCACTTCGTCCTGTTTGGGATTCATCACTGGACGTACCTATGATGATGTTCCACTCAGACTCGAACCCTACACCCGATGCGCTTTGATAAGAAGCTTGTGCTGAAGATGTTGTCTGGAAGGAACATGAAAGTTTCGCAGTTTTAAAATCACCCAGCTCAAAGAACGCAAGAACATCAAAATTACAACTTTACACGTTCATCGAGTATCTTTCTTCGCTCACTGCATCATACATAAAAATTATTAAGCAGGTGTATTTACCTGTTTAGTTAAAGCTGAGATTTCCGATTTATCTTGATTAACTAAATCACGTAGCTTGACCAGTGCTTCTTTCATTCGTTCATTTTGTTGTTCAAGATTTTTAAACTGTAAGGGAGTTGGACCGCCTTCAACACCGACTGCTACTCCACCTGGTATTTTCCACAAGACAGAGAAAGCGAGAGAGAGGAGATAATAACGTAGAATACAATAAGTAACTACGAACACAGTGTATAGTAATTTATCTCCTTAAGTAAGAAAGAAAAATGTTGGCGAATTTCTAGACAAAAAACAGAGTGGCCCTTGATGTAGGAACAGGATTTCGGCACTATAGTAGAGTATAATTCCATATCATGGGATAATTTCATTCGATAAAATAACTCGACGTAGGATTCTTAATAAGGCAGGAATTAGGACGGAATTTAAACCTACAAACTTACTCAGAAATAAAAGGACCCTATTGACCAACCACCCAATTAGACAAATCGATTTAATCAATATAATGACCTGTAGTGACTGTGATATCAATTACAACGATCAGACCAGTAGGTCGGTCAGATTATTGGAACATACGAATTTAGCTAAATGTGAAATGACGGACCTCACAAAAATGAAAGTCACACAATACAGTGGGGACAGAGCTACATCTAACATGAATTGATCAGCTTCAGTTTGGTATACGGCTACAATTAACGACCTGGTACGGTCGACGGTGGGTAGACTTCGGTCTTCCTCTCGAAGTCGTCTCATGTGCCTACGCGTTTATAGCCTTTGTTTACGTAGGTCCTGTTTACTACCTTTAAGCTACCTGGGTGAAAGGGCGAATCCGGACATCTGGCGCTTACAACTGGACTGATGAACTCATTCAGTAGATGCCTAAATACTGCCTTGAAGTTTATAAAATGACTTCTCAAAATACATGAACAGCAAGCATGGAGATAGTTACCACAATAGCTCCTGAAAAGTAATGAGCACAATGTCAGTTGACAGCTCTGCGATTAGAGTAAAGCCGATAACACTGAAGAAAAAAAGTGAAATGTTTATCGAAGTTAGAAATGACTGATAATAAAATACGATCAAATCGTTATCACGATGTGCCTGTCTCTACCTTAGTTGATTGACTTGTTTCGCGGTTAATAGCATCTTATACAAAGTTCAGATGGGTGGTTAGATCACATTCTGTGAGGTGTTAAACGAGAATTTTTAAGAGCTAAGATATCAATGGAAGCACTGCTGTGTAAATCACTTGACTAGTACAATTTCCTTTTCAGTAGTTTTTCCCAACTATAGTAGGAACTTTTCGAAGAGGCTTCAGACTTTTATCAACAGATGCATTCGCTCCATACTGAAGATCAAGTGACAAGAAAGGATAAACAAGCAACAAGGAGCTCCGGCACACAAAAACCAACCAAGATCACATCGTCCTACAAATATGCAGAGGAAAAGCGAAACGAATTGGACATCATAGGCTGGGAAAACTATCGAGTGACACATCAAGTGCCAGACCCTCGAGTGAGATTCAAACAACAATCGATGAGCTGGGCATCCCAGAGTGACATGAAGGAGGCCGTGTGAGGTGGAGATGAAAGTTATGAGCAGTCGTGGGGCCAGCTACGACAGACCGAAGGCGACAGGATGAAATATCGATCGATGTGTTGCTGAAGCAATATGTTCCACTAGGAACCCTAATGAATAATGATAACATACAATAGAAACGATTTTAAAATAACCCTGAAACAACTTAAATCATTACTACTAACCTTTTTCTTCAGATTCTTCTTTCAAGATTTGATTCTCAAGAGTTAATTCTTCTACTTGTTCCTTAAGTAATTCAATTTCTGCAGTCAATGTTTCTAGTTTTTCTTCTGCCATTTCTTTATCCAAAGTGGCCATTTCTATATTTTCAACCATTTCAGTTACTTCTTCACGATAACGATCAAATGCTTCTTTGACTTCAGCTTTTTCCTTAATAAAGATTAATTATAAATACATTAGTGAACCAGGTTTTCAATGAAAATAGCCAGAGATGTATTTAGAAACTAAGGAGAGCTAACAGAGCGAGTATTTCCTTGCTTGGGACGTTTTACTAATGCAAACACATGACTGTATGAAGCCAGGAGCTCAGGATCATTGAGTTACAAGGTGGGGATGTTATCATTGAACCGAACGGTTAACGTTCAATGTTTGAACTCAGTTCTGGAACAGGTGTCCCATATTCTAGGGACAATGAGTCACACTTATTGTGTGAGGGCTAATGACCTAGGTAGGAATAGTGGGATTCGAACCCGGGACCCACTGGTCAAAAGTGAAGTGCTTAAATCAATGGGCTAAGTCTGCTTTTCAACTCCTGCATTCATTAGCAGAAGAGATTAGTGCAAAACTTATGAGAGTAATACACTCAGGAGAAGTTATTACTTTTAAAAGCAGTTACTTCCTTTCATGAATTTCGACAACAACGAAAAATTTCACTCAGTTTGTTCTATCTGAAACGTGTAATGCATTCACGTAACACATTTCGGGCATTCTGATCACACGTCCTCCTTGTCAATACATATTTATATAAAAACTAACGGATCATAAAGGTTCAAAAATCTACCAATGAGTCAAAGAGTCACGATCACAGATATGAGGTAGGAGAATCACACACACACGAAAGAAACGTCGACTTTTTGATAGTTGGTGTGTATTAAATAGCAGTAAAAAGATCAACAGTCTCCGCACATAACTCTGTGAGCAGTTAAACGAGCAAAATTCACATTGGTAGAAGTGTTTCCATTATATTATTAGTATTCGCTATCTGCAAAATGTGATTACTAGCACTACCTTTTTGACGTCAACTTGGTTATTACATACAGAGTGGGTAGATATAGGTCCCATCGATTGTACAATTGCTAAATTACACTGATCTATTATTAACATGCGTCATGGATGCGAAATAGTACGAAAATAAAGTGCAGTGGCTATTTGTGGTTCTATAACTGAGAACCATTTTTTTAAAACTGGAACTGGGAACAGTCAAAACTCGAGTGTTAGCAGTCAATAACTTCATGTTGCATCATCAATAGCTCACTTCATATAGGGTCATTTTCAGGTTATAAATCGATTTTGATTAGTTATCGCCATCAGCTGAGAATATATTATCACCTTACAGTTAATCAACTAAGAGAGTTCACTAATTCTTTGTTCATACAATTCTATGATTTATTTACAAAAGTTTCAATTCTTAAAAGAAACATCTGCCAGTATGGCTAAGTAAAGGTGTAGTGAAAACCATCGACAGTTCGATATTAGATCATCTGGTCCAAAGCAGCCATAAAGCCAGCCACCATTGAAGAATCCTTCTCTATCATCTACCGCGTGCCAAATAAATTCCCAAAAAGTTCGAAGTACCGCATGCTCCAAACACCAGAGGCTGTCGCAATTCGCGTGAAACGACCAGTGCTTTGTGTGCAAAAGAAGCAAGTCCAGCCACTACTACTGCCCTGGCAGGCTTTCAGTTGAGACTATAAATTCATGAATTTGTATTATTATCTTTCCTAATTTTTCTGACATTTAGTTTATTGTTATATTGGTGCTATTGAACTGTAATCTATTGATATTATTGATTCGCTGTTATTTAAACAACATTAATGTTGTTCATAACACTAATTCATTCATTCACTATAATGTATATATAACTGTAGAGCGTGATGATGAAGTTATCGAAAAGAGTACTCTTTGTTCAGTATCCATTCTTTAGAAACAGTAATGATAGTGACTTCAAAAGAATAATTTAAGCGCCAACTACAACAGTTCACCAACCCAACAAAATTGTTAAAATCAATATAAGAAAGAAAACCTACTGTTTTTAATTGAGCAATTTCACGTTGTAATTCAGCTGCGTGTTCTCGCATCAGGCGTCGATTCTCTTCAACTTGTGACAGCTGAATTTTAACACGTTCTAATTCTTGTATTCTATTTTTATCTTCTTCCCGTTTAGCTTTTAAAGCATCAATTTGTTCATGAAATGTGATTACTTCAGCACGTAGATTTGCCAGTTCCAACTCTGTGTCTGGGGAGTACTTACCAGTACCACTTGGAACAGCTGATACAGATGTTTTTGGTATTTTTTGAGACGTATCTTTAGGTTTACTTGGTGTATTTTCAGGATCCACCTTCTGCGCAGCCGCTTTTACATCACTAGGTGGTGTTGTCGTTTTTGGAATTTCTGAAGGATTTGTTGGCATTTTAATACCAGTAGGGATAGGCGGTGTTGATGTAGTAGTGGTAGTAGAAGTAGGGAGTTTACTCTCACTCATCTTACGAGCCGGACTATCCGATTTTGAAATTTGTGTGTAAGATTTACTCATTATGTCACCGGACTTCATAACATCTGCTGCAACAGGTTTATCCGCAGAAGGCTTACTAGAAGGACTTTCAGTTTTTGCAGAGGCAGTTTCAGGTTTCAAAGCTGTTGATGTTGGAGCTGGACTACTTCGTGCAAGGTCTGGATTAGATCCAGTTGGTGGAAGCTATAAAAGTGAAGAAAAAATGAGTAAAAGTATGGAAAGTGATGGTTTGACAAGCGCTGCTTCAAAAAGGAATTGGCGCTTAAAACAACGCCTACACTGACAAGTCAAGTGATATGACTGAAGGATTAGTGCGGAACCTTGCACAACACTTCATTAGTTCATGGTGCTACACTTCAAAGCACCACATAGAAACTCCAATGTTGAGTGCAAAAATTACCACCGAGAAGAGAAGCAGATGTACCTTTTGTAATTTAGCGAAACACGAGATAACAGAATAAACTGGTACTCATAACGTGCAACACACTAGGTGGTTGTGTTAAACATGTGGTTTATTTAAATATATACAAGACCACCAAAAACTGAAGCTCAATACATGTACAGTAAAAGGAAGAGTAAAGCTTAACAACAATTTAAAGTAATCTTAGACCTTATTGTATTATAATTACTACTCCCACGGGTTACTAGTAGAAAATTAGGCTTCACAGCAGCACAGATTCATTGCATCTTGTTCTCTGCAGTCTTTTCTTAGGTGGCTCCTCGACTGCTCATAAGCTTTCATCTTAACCTTACACGACCTCATCCATGCCATCCTCGGACAAACAAAGCATCTTTCGCTTCCCATTCATGTTTTACTCGAGCGCTTGGAGCATGATGCCACAGTCTTCTCAGTGTATGTCCGATCCATATCTATGTCCTTCTACATATTTATTGGGCGATAGGCTTTTGGGCAGTTGCCTGTTGGAGTTCCTTGTTGCTTACCTTTCTGGTCAGCCATCTGATCCTCAGTATGGAACCAAGTCTGTCTGGTATGCTTTTGATAGTGCACCAATTCTCTAAACCATATAGAATCACTGACTGACTTGACAATGGCATTGGAAATTCGGATCTTGTTACTTATATAGAGTTCGACAGATTCCCACACTGATTTCAAAGTAATGAAGGCCTGTATTGCCTTTCCGACCTTGCCTTTGATATCTTCATCCGTGCTTCCCGCCTAGGTAATTGAAAGAAGTGGCTTCCTCCACACTTCCCCCATTGATGTTAGTTCGTTCTTGTTTTATCAATGTTCATTTGAAGTCCTGTCTTCACTGCCTCTTCTACTAACTTGTTGGTTTTTCGCTTGTAGATCTTCAGGCTTCTGCGAAATTAGACATAAATCATCGACGAATGTCCAGATATTCCAGTGTCTATTTTCCCTCCAGTTTATGTCTGTCCTGTCTCTCCTGACGTTCTGTCGCATAGCTCAGTCTAATATAACTAGAAAAATCGTCGGTGGTAGTAGGCTGTCTTGTCTTACTCTAGTCTTTACTTCAGAGGCTTTGCCAAGCTCCCCGTTGTGAATCAGTTGGCATGTAGCATTGTCATATAACTGTTGAATGAGGCTGATACATGTTTGAGTTGCTGCAATCCATGGTGTCAGATCACTTTCCAAATTACCTAGAATGTTTTTACATAGGCATTTACAAGATGAAATCCCGAAAGCTTGAACATTATCAACAAGGAATCTGAACTATTGAAGAATTGATAATTTTAGCAGAACCATAAACTTTGTTTAAGAAAACCTGTTTGTCTCATTCATTTTTAGATACGCTATACTGTAAGATGATTTATCTATATTTGATATTATAGACATGGTTTCCAATGTAAAACACACAAGAAGCTACAATTTACTTAAAACCTTAAAATTAACCATTTTATTTATTTATTTAATTATAGCTTCATTCCACACAGTATTTTGGTACAAGTACGGAATTCTCCGCGTGTGATATCGGTAGTTCAAATTTAGTCGGCCGAGACCATTGATATCAGGTGGGCGTCGGTTGGGGATCGAACCCCGGACCATATGCATGGTCGGCGAGCGTCATAACTGCTGTGCCACCGACGCCCTGATTAATCACTAAGAATGAAACACAAGATGATGAGATCTAGTGAACTCCAACAGTTCTGCAGCAGCTGTTGATTCATGCAGTTTACTTCCATTTATCACTTAAAACAGAAAAAGATTTAGTAAAATAAGGTATTAATAAATTTATCACACAAGTTCAAATATTAATAAAGCAAAAACCACACCAGAAAGAAAAGATATCATTTGTATGAAATTGATAGTCAGTTAACAAGACAGTCTGCACAAAACATAGTTGGTGGAAATCCACTACAGAGTAGATTTCGAGGTGTTGTGCTTTGAAAGTACAGATATAATTAAGAGAATTGCAAAAGATTGTGAGTAAAAACCAGACATTAACAATGACCAGTTAGTATTAGGTAAGTGTTTTACAAATAAGCAAAAGCATGATAAGTGAAATACAAAAGGTGAATACTGTTCAGCAAGAGAACATAAAATACTAGAGAGGAAACGACCAGGATACATATGTAAGATATTAAATTACTCATGTCATATTCTGATACTCAGTATTTAAATAACATAGGAGTAAGAACTGCTGTGTATTACTGAGCCATGGAGCCTTGATTTGTCAGAAGTAGACTTCAGTATTCTTGTAACGACAGAAGACAAGGGCCAGGCAACAGATCGTTTATTGAGAAAATCAAGAGATATTTATAGATTTTTATGTAGATTATTGTTAGCGGAGAAGCAACCTCTTCTGATTGGTTGTTTTCTCTATTGCTTGTGGCCGTTTCTTAGAAAGTTAAGTCATGTATGTGCGAATCCTATTTTCACACGTCAAGCCCGCTATGATTGCTTGGTGAGTTCTCCAAGGTTAAGCTTTGTTACTGTTTTTGTCTCATGACCCCGATTCGGGAAGTAAACATTGACGCAAACTGTTGTCTATTATTTTGACTTGCAGACAGCTCTCACCACATTCTGACTTCCATTTAGGGAACAATGAACACTGGGTAAACTAATTTATTTAAACGTGTCATACATAGGGTGCATCAGTGATTCAGTGGCAAAATGCTCGCTAACTAGTTTTGAGTTCGACTCCCGGTCGATGTACTCATAAAAATTGACTAGTTTACCAGTTCAGAGTAAGTCTGCAAAAGACTGAAGATTGGGTGTAGGGATAACAAATCCCTCCCCCCCCACCATAAGAAGCAGCACAATGGTTACTGAGACTTCAAAGCTTGAAGCCTTAAGTCCTATTTTCAAGTCGGAAGGCAATGGGCTAAAAAAAAAACAGGTTTTCATATATTCTTAATGTTCCTAAGGTATCTCTTTTACAATCATCCATTTTATTTTTTATGTTGGCCCATGCTAGTGAGAATGTTGTCGTCTTCTAACCAACTTGAAACAATTCTTTTTCATTCCTTCAGTTCTAAGTAGAATACAGGACTTCAAACTTTGGAATTTCAGTAGCAGGGATGTTTTTTTCTTTTATGAAATATGGTTGCTAGCCTCATGGCCAACACCTTTCCTTTTCAGGTTTACTACTTGGTTAGGCGAGGTTTAGGAGTGTGTCGGCCGGGAATCAAACCCGGACATCCTGAGTTCCATTACTTCGAATTTGAAGCAGTAGTATTACTATTTTGGATTTCCATAGTTTTCTCAGTCACACAAAAACAGTACAAATGGTAGAGAAGGAAGTGCATCATCTCAGCATCTTAGCATGTCAACTGACCAATCAGCTACATCTAGCATATGACTTTTAGCAATAATGCCCATAAGTCTCAAGACGTATATGGAATAGGATTTGAGAGCATGACAACAATGTATCTATACATAACTTATACATCTATTAATTATAAATCATGTCTAATAAATGAATGGCGAATCAATGTAGAACGTTACTCAGACACGTGTGTCAGTTCACTTAATCATACAATGGAGCGACTACTTATAATTTGCTCTTTTGAAAAAGAAATATTCAATTAGAGTCAGTTAATCATAATAGTGTGTCGATGGCTCAGGGTCAAAATGGGCACGCCAACCAACCACACAAGGTTGAGGGTTCAATTCCCAGTTGAGCCACTATTTGAAATCTCGCTTAGCTGGTATTAGGCCCTTAGAAAGAGGGAAGGTTGAGCGTAAGGTTAGCAACCCCACTCCTCAAAAGAACAACACCATCGCTATTGAAACTTCAAAGCTTTAAGCTTGAAGTCCCATGTTCCACTCGGAAACACAAAGGAAAATTAGCATTTTCAGTGTGTCCAATTACTGTTGTTATTGTTCTGATCAATTTCACTGAATGATATGTACGTGTGAAATAAGAGCTATCTTCGATCAGTTAAAAAATATACAAATTAAGATGATCTCAACCGAAAGCAAAGGTACATAGATAGAAAGTCTTGAAATTAACAAAAGGCTTGCTTATGTTAGCTTTAATAAAACTTTACACCGCTTATCGGTTTTTTCTCTCCACACTATACACAAAGACCTTACCAAACTAGATCGTCTTGATGTAGGCTAAGTGAACAAAAACAATAATAATAATAATAAAGCATGAGAATAATTTGCCAGAAAAAGAAACAAACAAAGCACATGAACTAAAAGTAATACAATAAACAACTAAGGTGTGTATAGGCACATGTATATTTCTTATACCTATGTGAATAAACCAAGTCACCTAATTGATCGTGGATATAAGCGCATATATATACATATATATACTCAATACACAGTAAAAGCAAAATGTGAGAGAAATCGATTATCGACTATAAATTCTTAACACAATAAAGAGAAATGTATACATACATGTTAAGAAGTTTACTAACACAAAATAATAAGTCGATAAATTATAGAAATATCAAATGTATTAAGTTCACTGGAAAATGAGCTGTCTATTATAAGAAATAGAATCATTCTATTTGACACGATAGATACGCCAAGCCAATCAAATGGATAATTTAGTTTGATCACGAACTGGCTTCACTCAAGACCTCCTGCCATCAAGAATCGAAACCAAGACCTTCAAGATACAAGGCGAGATCTTTGATCACTCAGCCATTGGGATAGAATCCAATGACCAGCCCATGAATTCTAACTTCTCTCAATTTCTCACGATATTCAGTGCGACTGCCAGCCAACCTCATCATCTACCATTGGATTCTGTCTCAGTAGCTAAATGGTTAGTGACCTCGCCTTGTAACCCGAGGGTTTCGGGTTCATTCGCTTGTTGTGGGGCTGTGGGTGCGTGTTCTTGAAGAGTCCCGAACTAGAAGGAGACAGTTATCCAGTACTCCCTAGTTTTTAATATGCTTCTCTAACCGAAATCAATCAAATACCTATATATGAAAGCACGCCACGTTTTTCTAGATAGCCTCGAAAAATATAATTTATGTAACAGTGTCAGTCATTACAACATATAAAAAACAGATTAAACTCACTTGTGATGTCTTTTTAATTTCTGATGGAACTGTGACAAAAAAAGGAAGAACAAAATAATAAATATACAGTAGTATGAATCCGATCAGAAAAAAAACAAAACAAAAATTATATGTTATAGCATGCTGTAATTATGGATTAAAAGCATTAGACGAATGTTATGACGAGAACAAAAGAAATGAGGCAAAATTAAAGCGTAGCTGTTAGATAATGTAAGATTGATGTATATAAACCAATGGATAATACATATATTATGTTTCTTGTTTCAGTTAAGCATGCACTCATAGAAAACAGAACATACTTCTACCAGCTGAGGCAGGTACACTAGCCTTATCCTTCACAGATGAAGTAGAACTAGCTAGAGGAGAACGTTTGAGACCGGGTAACTTTGAAGTTCGTCCTATGGTATGTATGATATTAAAAATTGAATGATGAAACAGTGAAAAACAGAAATTTTTCTGATTTATAAAAAAAATAAAGTCATGGTTGCATACAGAATATAAACAAATTACCCGACGACAGATTTTTTCCATAAAAAAAACTTTTTGAGGGGTCACTGAAAACAAAATGCACTGGACAATAATTTCACTACATTTCTGTAAAAATAGAATAGATCAATGTCTCAGAGAAATGACGCTGTCTTCAAATTAATTATTATGACTGAAATTAAAGGTAGTCAAAACTTACAAAAACAGTGACTGAATATAATCGAGTGGTGATCCAAGCTAGGACAAATACCTCAGTAGCAGAACTTAAACCAGTGACCTCGATAACACGCAATGACTGAAATTTAAATGACATCAGTCACTAAATTTCAATCAGGTAGAGCTCAATTACCCGGAACAGATTTTCCATGTGCCAAACTAAGAGCCACACTCATCATCTGAGAACTGATGATACTATCCAATTGCCCAGGTTGAAGTAGATGGAGTGATATTCGAACCTCTGACCCATCAGCTGTAAACCGAGTGCTTAGCCTAATGAACTTCATCTCCAGCAGAGCAATAGCAATGTGTCTGCTGTAAGGGTCAAGTGTTTTGGTTCAACCTAAAAAGTATAGCGTGTGCATCAGTGAAAGACCCAAACGTAAGATAAAAAACTGATGGGCTCATCTATATTTCTAATAGCATTTCAGATAATGTTGGTTAGATTCAGCTGTCTTAAAAATGACCTAGTTTCCAAAACTACTGAATGAAATGTCCCTGAGATTTGTCACGTTCCTTTTTTGTACTGCAGCTTTACAACAAACTGTCAGTAGTGTCATAATTGATAACATTATTTCAAAGTTACTTCAGTTCAAACACAATAATACTCAGTGGTGCATCGGTGGCACAGCGGTTAGGACTCTCGTCGACCATGCACATGGTCCGAGGTTTGATCCCCTGCCGGCGCACACCTGATATCAATTGGTTGGCCTGCGAAATTCGGGCTACCGATATCACATGCTGAAAATTCCATACTTCTACCAAAAATACGGTGTGAAATCAAGCTATAATAAAAAAAATCTAATATGAGGAAACATTGATGATAAGTATCAAGAAACACGAAGTATTGGTCATTTAACTTTCTACCGGTTGCTTTATATTATTAAAAACGGTTTGAAGAGCACAACGACGTATAACTGTCTAACCTATTGAAAAAAGCTGATTTATCAGATTTCATCAACACATGTAGCGAAACAAAGTGAAATCAACTGGAATCCAATGAATAATAAATTCATAGAGAAGTGAGTTAAATTCCAGTCACTGGATAACGAATTGAAACACCGCTACAGTAATCAAGGCATGAGCATCTCAGCTATAACATTAATTTTCATACAACATACAGTTTTATGTTTAGTATCACCACTTATAAATGGTTACTGAGTTGAGTGTAGCGAAACTTCTTACTCCTTTATCAGGTAATACAAATTAAGTAACCATACAAATCACTTCAGTTGACAGATAATGTTATTGATGTAAATAACATAACGCGCTTCCTTGGGGTTAAAATGCTACATTACATATATATTAGTGGTAACATTCAAAACGACGTAGATATAAGAAGAACAGACAGAAAATAAAACATTCAATACCTTTAACTGTCTCAGCAGTTTTCAATCCTACAGACAACGAAGATGTCGAACCAGAAAGTTTCGCAACTTCGCTTGATTCTGAAGTGGCACCTGATTCGGAAACAACGCTAGATGTGGATAACTCCATTACGCTTGATCCTTCCGGACCATCTAGAAGAGTAAGCTGGATGACAAAGGAGGAATAAATAAATTAGATTTTTTAATTGCAAGATGCATTCACGATCGATATTTTCGGACACAACCCGAATAAGGTACAACAAAATATATATTCTTGTTGCGAATGAAATCTAATCAATACTTTTAGGGACCAGTACATTGGACTAAAATATTTACCTGCCGAACAAACAGATGAAACAAAGGAAGCTGGATTCAATGAGTCAAATTTAACAATAAATATCAGTTAATTTACTTTGTTACAAACTCCAGACTCATATTTGTCATGTTATTTGGTGTATAGTGACCATCAGTGGAATCCCGGAAGTACGCTCTGTCTCGTTTGGGACTCGTCATCTAGAGATAACTGCAATCCCCAGTGTGTGTGATGGTATTTCTGCTGAGAATCAAACCCAGCCCCCGTCGTTTAAACGCCAGTGTTAACCACTAAGCCACTTCGGCAGCAAATAACATCACTGTTCCTCAAACATCATCGGATAGTCCGCATTAAGAGCCGGCATGTCTACAGAAGTCGAAAATTTCCGTTCAACTAATCAATGAGAAAAACACGAATTGACTTAAACAAAGTGGCGAAAACCCATTACGGTTCGAATTCTCAACCACCTGACACATATCATAATATCACTCAAAGAAAAACACTGTAAATAGTCCTAAACATAATAAAACAGAAAAATGGCACAATACGGGACAAGAGAATTAAAATATGTCCTGGATATTGGACTAAACAGAATTTGAATGGAGTCATATTGCTATTATCCTATCATTATTAATGTAAGGATTTGCATGATTGTATGATGGTTCAAGAAACCATATATATATATACATATATAAGAATAGAGAAGTGATGTTAATAATGTTATCAGAAGTGGTAAAATATTTTGAAATAAAAGGACAGAAACGAAGTATGTAACAACACATTTAAAATAAAAAGATGAGAATACGTTTGTGTCAGTATGATTTATTTCGATCCCCATCACCCACGATCCTTAGTCACGAGTTTTCGTAGTTAATTCGACCACAGAAAGCAAGTTGCACTTTTCCAAATTAAATGGATTAACAGTCATGAATTCAGTGATTGGCTGAGTACGGATATGGCCGCCCTTAACTCAACAGGCCATGGTAGGTGGTAAGTAGGCGTAACGAATGGCATAACCAACTCAGACGATTGACAGTTATAAACAGGAGAGGTGGTGTGTAGAATAAATGAATGTAATCTTTGCAGATTCAATACTGATGATTAAACACTGGCGTAATGTAACGGCGCATGCTGATGTATTCTTGACACCTAGCAGATATACAGATATTTCACTAAGGAAGTAGATAACGAAAGTGCGTAGGCCTTTCCATTTCACCACGTGATGACAAAGTGACTTTCTAAAGTTGAGATAGGTGTCGGTTCAAACAATTGTGGGAGTGAGAAATTATATTTGAAAGAACGCAACTACCGAGAAAATATATTTTATGTGCCCACCTACGAATTACACGTTATATAAAGGTATATGGTGCTGGCTGGATGCAACATAGAACTTGGCACCGAAGTGCACCAGTTCGAGTTGCCACGTTCCGAATAGCACACAAGGGTAGACAAGAAAATGAGTGAAGAGAATCAACAGAGTTTTGATAAGTATAAGAGTGAAACAGAATGAGTAATGGTAGAAAGGAATATGAAAGATTACAGAGACTGAATACATCTGCGTAAGCCATTGACAACGATTTTGAGCCATGTCACCTATTGTCTCCAGCCATTGATTCTTAGAGTCCCGAGGGCAGGCCCCAACCCGGAAGTCTGCATCTCCCTACCTGACTCAGTTTAACTGTCAAGGATTTCATGGATTGATGAGGCCATGTTTTTGTTTGGCCACCACTTAATCTTTTCCAACCTGCACCTCTATCAGCTAGTAATGCCCGTCGGGGGAGGCGATGGTTAGAAGGCATATGGTACTAATCAGTTGCTCATGTTGCAATAAGTGAGATGGGATTAAAGCCCGGTGTCCACTGGCTTGAAGTTAAGTTCTAAAGCCAATGAGCACCAACTCCAGTTTCTTAGAAAACAAAGAATATATCGTACACATTCCTAACGTCTCACAAACAATTGGATAAACAATGTTTTAGCAGTATATTTTTCAGAGGACACACTGTCTGTTATTTAATATATTACGGTATGCTTGAAACTAACAGTCGGAAGTAGAGAAGGAAATCAACTGTCTGGTGAATATTGAAGCAAAGGCTGAGCAAGCATAAAAGTTATCGTTTCCTAAGGAAATGTTACGAAACAATTAGTCCACAGAAATGACAGTAAGTCCCAACACCATGTTGATTAAGCCCTTTGGATGCTCTAGTGCCATAAGCTCTATAGGCTGGAGACTACAGTTGGATTCAGGTCCTGGCAAAGTTAAAGTATCATAGCAGAAGTCAAGGTCTGTCAAAAGTGGGCCTTCAAGAACCAGTCAGATTTAGGGAACGCTAAGAAATGTCAATCGAAATCAAATCATGCTTACTGTTTAGAATTTGGCGAGAGTAGATGCAGTATTCTACTTGTTCCCATGTACTTTTTCTGTGAATATGCACTGCTAGGTATCCTACTGTTATGGCTTTTAAAATCAAGGTTAGGATTACGGTCAGAGTTAGGTGTATGTTAAAGAACAGTGTCAGAAACATCAGTGGATCTCAAAGTATCCCGAGCAACAGTCACCTATCGCGCATGGTATGACTTCTCTTTAGGTTGTCCGGTTAGCGAATGCGAGATATTCTTGCAACACATAAGCGACAATTATTCAGTGTAATATCGTATTCATAATGTGCATTAATGCATTTTCCCAAAGATTGTGCGACCCGTTTTTATCTGAATTCTAATTGGTTGCCCAAAGTCACTGTAACTTTGGTTATGATAGTTTAACTTCGCCTGGTCTGGACAATACTACAATATAATTCCACGCAGAGTAAGGATACCAGTAGACTCAATATTCAGTTGGGAATCCAGTTTCACGGGGCTGGGAATACCTTTTCATAATTTGATATAAATATGGAGTGCAAGGACTGAAAAAGCTAAATAGGGTAATGCGACATTGATGAGAAAGATATTATAGAATGGAGGTGAGATCAACAAATACAAATCGAAAACCGTTAGGATGCACGAAATGAGTAAGGAATCATGTATGCACTATTAGTGCTACGAAGCTATAAGTGTCAAAACCACGATATATGGTTTTCGAACATCATGATTCACACTGAACTGCATATGAACCAGTTTATCCTAGGGACTGTAAAGACTGACCCCTACTCTCAGCAGAGAACCTCAGTAAATAACATTTCTAAAATTATAAATACAACCTAGCACTTGAAGAATAGACTGGTACTATACAATTATATGAGATATATTTAATTAACATTTGCAATGATCTTGATAATGTCTACCTGCAAATTACTAACACGAGCTCTGATGACTTATTAAAATAAGAGCAACGTGCGAATTCATCATAAATGAAGTGATAAACAAATAAATAATACCATCGAGTCCCTGGTAGTAAGGACTTCTTATGATATGCATCCAATATATCCAATATCCTGATTACGAGCTAGTATAAACCAGTGATTTCTTTGAGCTCGCTTCTTGATTGTAAGGTAGAGGTTCCAGATCTTCGGTGAACTTATGCGTAGTAAATCCCGCCACTCGACTGCTTTAGCTCTGGTAGACTCCAAGAGGAGTGGTGCGAGGATTGGTCAAGATTGTGGTTTGTATTGTGCAGTATGTTAGGACTCAGCTGCTGCCGTGAATGGAGTTTGACCTAACACCCGTTGGTCATTCGGTATAGTCATAAAAGTAGAATAATAATAATAATAATAGGTTGTAGTGTAGATAATATAGGTTGAGATAAGTGAAATAATAAAGGTGAAATAATAAAGAAAGAAAGAAAAGATAGAGTAGTCGGTACAGTGGGAGAAGACAGGACGGGTCGTGGGGATTTAGCTTGTATGCTTATCCATTGACAATGTGGTTTCAAATTTTAAGAGGATAAGCCATTGAGACACAAACCATGCATTTCTGCATGATTGTCCAGCTTCCGCTTAAAAGTCTCCACAGATGGAGCTGTAGTTACGGCCGCCGGTAAAGCGTTCCAGAGACGGCAAACTCGAAGCGAGAAGAAATGTGAACGCACTCGAGTCCTTGGTCTCTGGTGTGCTATCCTTAGCGGGTTACCTCGTGGAAGCCTATAATCACTTAATGGCAGGATGCTCTTATTAGGATGGGCCTGGTCATTTAAGATCTTATAGACGGTGATGAGGTCTCCCCTGTGACTACGGTAACTAAGTGTGAAAAGACTTAATTTCTTCAGTCTCTCCTCATATGATTTGTTGCGGAGGCCGATCACCCATTTTGTCGCTCGTCTCTGGACACTTTCTAGCATGTTAGCATCCCTTTTGAGTAGCGGAGGAGCAATGATAATATGCACCTCAAGGAGTGACCGCACGTATGTCGTATACAACGTTAGGAATAGTTCAGGAGTAAGAGCTCCCAGCTGCCTATGCATAAAGTGTAAAGTGGCGTAAGCTTTGGCGACGTCCCTCGTGTAATTCACACTGGTGTCTAGCTTTTCTGTTAAAATAAGGCCTAGATCGCGTTCTGATGGCACACAACTCAAGTTCTGGCCACCAAGGGTGTAATTTGCACTCTGTGACCTGCCGGAATGAAGTTGCACTGATACATAAAAGGATACAAACAACGCACAAAACCGTTTAAAATAAAACATACCTGAGATGGGCGCACAAATATCCCAAAATTTTCCTCGCATGTAAAGTAGCGTTTCCCCTGAACCGTGCCGTTGTTCTTCCCTTTGGGCTCGTCTAGTATTACACCCACCCATTTTCCTAAGTCCGTGATGAGAACAGAACTTTTTTTACCTGGTGAGAATTGTGTTGCTCCGACAAAAGCAACTGTCCCAAAAACATCTTTCC